GGTAGGAGTACTACTAGAGTACTATACTTATATATATATATATATATATATATATATATATATATGGTTATGTTAAGATGCTCGTACTAAAGAATAATTTATTATTGTATTCAATAAATTTTGGAAAAGTTTTGTTTAATAAAGGCATTTTGATAACTAGGAGGGCTGTGAGGTTATTTATAATAGGTGTGACATCACCCACATGAAGTATTAAATGCCACATCCATGTGGGTAATGTCACATCCCATGTGATGATTATCCTCTTAATGACAAAAAATACCTTTATTAAAAAATGTCATTTGTACAAAACGAGAGTATAGAAGTATCCAAAATTATTTAGTATAATAATAAATTATTCATATGAGCACCTAAACATAACTAATGTCTCAGTTTCAGTTTGGGACCTTATTTCGTATTTAAATTTTAGTTTTTTTCTCCAAATTCAAATCATTTAAAGTTTTGGACGTGTGTTTTTCAAAATAAGAGAATATAATAAAAATATCAAAAAAATAATTTGTAAGAAATAAATTGACCAAAATGTTCTAAAAAATTGCATGGATAATTTGATCAATTTATTTATTGTGGATTACTTTTTAATATTTTTAATTGGTAAGCCTTGATAAGAATAATAGACGTCTAAAATTTCATATGATTTAAATTGATAGAAAAAATATTAAAATTAAAATACTAAATAAAATCATGATTATCAAATCGACCCAATTTCAATAAAGGGCAATGGACTCATAACGACAGTTGGGGACCCTATAATGCTCTAAATCACCATATAACTTGATCTTGGAGGTTCAATGCATTTTCAAGTTTCTTAGATCAGTTATGCATTCAAAATCCAAATAGTATTTGATTTAGCTTCAGCACATTTTCAAGTTCCTTAGATCTGCTGTCAATCAACTGGGCATATCCAGATTTGTTTTTAGTGCTAATTGAGTCGGAAATGGAACCTTGAGAGCGGGCTCTAGGCAGAGGTGGTCAGAGATGGTCCATCACTAACCGGCGTTGTAATGTGATTTGTAGAGTTTCATTCTCACCAAAAATTGGAACCTTTTCAAAGCGCCATGACTGGTTTTCTTTAAGAGGACACTATTTCTGGAACGGAAAAAACTGATCTGGATATATTCTGGTCCTTCACCTCTCAAAAGTGATTTTGAACTGGGGAAGCACCATTTTGCTGTGGTTCTTCTTACTGCACCACCAAAGGTTTTCCCTTCCTACTGTCTGATACATTCAAACGTTAGACATTTTTTTGTGGTTTTACCTTTTGGCTTTGGCTTGGTTCTTAATCTTTTAGTGTGTCTATTGAACACAAATAATTATATAAAAAAAATGTCCTCATTTCTTTTTATCTTTATGGATATGTTTTTGCTTACCTTTATAGGCAATCCGAAAAAATTCACAGGCTAACAGTTACAGTCACAGTCATAGTCAGCAATATGGTATTGAGGAGGGGGAAGAGTATAGTCATATGGACATTCAAAATCGAGCTTAACTCAATATATAGAAGAAAGAAAAAGTTTACATAAGGTTGAAACCTTAAAATGTAGAATCAAAGGTGCATCTCAAAAATCAATCATAAAAGGCTTTCAGAATGTTGGAAATCCCTTTAATTGCTCATCTCGACAACAAGATGCATGAATATGAAAAGAAAAAATTATTTCGAGTTTACGAGATAATGTAATCTTGCAACACATTATCTGGATCGTTCATTTTCAAGATTATCATGCGTTTATATATCTACTTGATTTAAACAGTTTTTAGAATTTAAAATTTTATAATTAGAGATGAAAATAGATTTTCAAGTTATCCTAAGAAATTTTGATATCAAAATTATATTTATGATAAAATTTAGAGGTGCGCTTTAATTGGATTGTTTAAGGTTGTTTGAACCCATAGAAAAAATACTAAAATTAAAATATGTTACGTGCTCTATAAAAATGGGACATGAGTATAAAATATGAAATACTAAGGACAATTCTTAAAATTTTCATAAAATATTATGTAAATTTTCTTAATTGTAACGGATATAAAATTGTTCTTACTCACTTTAAAACTGTATAACAATAGCGGGCCCTGCATGACTTGGCCCAATTCCACTGATATTTTTCAGAGTTCAATGTAACTGATTTGAAACCTTTGTAAATTACACACTCTACTTTCAGCACAGGAAAACATCCAACTGTCCGTTCACATCGGATGGTTGAGGAGTTGCTAGCAGACTGTTTGAACCCAAAATACTATCATAGCATAAGAACTCACGTTTCATTCTCAATTTGAACAGTGAATATTGGTGCAAACATTATATAGAAGAAGTCAATATATTTTCACTTATTTTTACATGAGAAACAACTTATATTTTGGAAATAGGAAAACCTTTTTTTTGGGGAAAAATCCCTGTGTTGTATCAAGTTGGATGGACTGATGGAGTGGGTTGGAACATGTGAAGGTGGGAAGAAACCTGAAATTCAATGAAGAGCCTCTATTATGTGCCCTCCCCCATCCCATTCATACTCCCTTTAGCAAACATCTCTTCGATCCAAAAATTTGGGATCTACCTCAGAACTATTGGATGATTATTTAAAACAAAAAGTGAAAAAGAAAACCTAGATTTCGAGGACTCCAACCCATAGATCTCACCTTTAAACATTGGATAATCATTGTTCAATCTTGAGAGATTAGGTACATACATGGTGCGATTTGAAAATTTTATTTATTTTTAAGTTGGTCGCTGGTTGACTAGGTTACTTCCCTAAAATTCGGTGTCCGAGTTTTACCCGGGGAGTAAATAGACAATATGCTCCAGTGGGATCATGCAATCTTTTGGCATTCACCAGATACTTCATCCTGTCTTTGGAAAGTGCAAGAGTGACTCGAACTCCACTAATCCAAACATATGACAATGGTTTGGCAAATTTTATTAATTTAAAAAGTAGAAAATTGGCCCTATCCCCTCTACTTGGAGTTAATTTCATGGCCACAGAAATAGACTTGAACTCTCACAATTAGCAAATTGCCCTGAACCACAGAGAAAAGGTCAACGTACTATTGCTTCAAAATCAAGAGGGTCTGAAATTCAGCAAAAAATAGGGTTTTCAGTAATATTCTCCATTTGATGAATTCTAATTTTTAGCTGAATGTGATATTTCCATCTCATATTTTGGAAATTTATAATTCTTCCATTTTATTAGATGGCATCCAAGATTAGATACAAAAGCATTAGGAAGTCCAAGACTGAAAAAGAAAAAAATCACTAAGGACTCGATTTTCTAGTTATTCTTTATATAGATAAAAAAACATATAAAAACTTACCATTTTATTAAGTAGGCTGAGTCTGGAATTGTATAACCCCACTGCTAATTGTTTGCATTCCTTTCTAAATTCTCTCATTCACTCAAAATATTAAATGAAAATGGTGAAGAATACTAAAGGATATATCTATGGCAAAACGTTGAAGTGTTTCAAACAAGAAAGATGGCAGACAGTATACTAGAGCTTCATAGAGATCAGATCTCATGGTTCCTCCTTCCAATTAAAGAGTTACAAAAAAACATATGACCTCAATCAGGAACCACATGAAATATAACTAAAACAACCAGCACGAGTTAACCTAAATTTGGGGAACTGCACTAAGGGTTCCTGAAGTCAATCACTATCAGGGCTTAGTATTGCAGGAATGGGCATTTCAAACACTGAAAACATTTCCTACGAGGAAATATGTATTCTTATCTGAATTAGCAAAACTCAAATGAACAGAAATAAACTTGGCAAAACAATACCACACTTTCTAAGTATTCAAACCAAAGTAAGCACTAGATCATCTCATAAAAAATGACTGATCAATTGATTTTATGGAACATGAAATCAGTTGACAGAAGCAATTGATTTTCTTTCATCGAAAAAAGACTAATCAATTATTCTTACATGCAAACTTCTGAAAAATAACCCAAAATTGACAGATATGATTAGTGGGGTCAAATGTTCAGCTCGCACAAGCATATTGGGGTAGCATACTTCTTTGTCTCACCAATTCATGGAGATCATGAACTATTTTGAATACTGCATCTGGCCGAGCTAGCTTCAGTGCATTCTGAGACATGGATTTTAGCTCGTCGGCTTTGGGTCCAAACCACTGGGCAACAATATTCGCTATCTCCTTTGGAGATTTTGAGAACTTCCCAGCGCCATTCTCCACAACATAAGGCACATTTCCAGCTTCCTGAAATTGATACAAATATTAGGAGGAGGATGATATAATTTTGTTTTCATCAATAAACTGAGATGACTTAATGAAGCTTGAAAGAGAAGGATTACAGGATCTTCAAAGTTTTTGAAGTAAGACTATTATCAGACAGATGGAGGATGGAAAACTGCAGCCTATTTGGAGAGGTCATGAACATTGGATGAAATGATGGAAGTTGAGGGAGAGATGGCACAGAAAAGGAAATGACAAGAATGGTGGGTCCCACACTTCATAACCACTTGTCATTTCATCAGATGTTCATAACCTCAACGCATTATGGTTTCGACTTGTGGTTTCCCAAAGTGCGCTGGACCATAGCATGCTTCCCCAAGTTTTAACTTTTCATCGTATAGCACTAGAATTACCATGGAGAAAGGAGAACTTATAGAAGACAACTTAAACAAAATAATCCACTTTTAATGACCAGAGAATATCCAGTCACGGATGCACTTAAAAAAGTTCACTATACAATATGAACCAGGACTTCTCAAAGTAACCATTTGAACATTTTGTATAAAGTTCAAAACAAAACATAAAATGAGGTGCATAATAATCAAATTAAAGGACGTATAAGACTCCCAAAACATTTTACAGAAACTACCTTACACTCCATAAAATATCAATTTGATCAAATCCAAGGATGGGATATATTTGAGATGTCCCATACTTTTGAAGATACATATATGCACACACACATGCATGTAACCTATCCATAAAGTCAGTCTATGAAAGCCGACCACCAAGAATCTGATCAAAAGTCCACTTAAACTTAGAGAAGCCATATCCTTTCTTCCAAGGAAGAACAGGGAAATTTCAGAAAAAAGGAAGTTACCTGCCCAGCAATATAATCATTAAGAATTATAGGAAGGCCTCTTATCATGGCTTCAGCAATGGTCCCTGGTCCTGCCTGTGAATATTGAGTACCCATGAGCACTAGGTCTTCAGGAGTTTTCATGAAGGTGGATGCAAGATTAGAAAAAAAAAAAAAAAGATTTCAATTTGTTTTTTGAGAATGCTAATAAAATGATTTCAAATATTGAGGAGTTACCTTCGTAATAATGCAATCACAGGCTCCCATACAATCCTCCATTTTGGTAACAAATCCCTCGATCTACAGAGAGAAAAAGGCCAACTATTGAAGTACAGAAAAAGAAGAAACAATTTTAGACAAACTTACATGATCATACATTATAACAGTAACTCAAAACTTATGAGCACTTAACACCAAAAAGTGATTGCTTTGCACAAGAGGTTTTCTCTCCGAACTTTGTTCTATCCCAATAAGGGTGGCAAGAGTAGAAGCTAGCACAGCCTTTCAAGATTTCCTCTTATGGAAACTCTTTCTGTTTTCAGAAGAATTAAAAGCAAATAGTTCTTATTTTTTATGGCGTGTTTTTTTACCGAAGGTTAATTAGTCCTTTGATGATTTACATATCAGGGAACCAAGCTTCCAAGTTCTAAGCAATCAGCATCTCAAGCGAGGACAGTGACCACTAGCAATAACCATCCAACATCAAAGAGAACAATCAATCATTTAATAAAGACTTCATAACTAAAACAACTTGTAACTAATCTGCTACAAACATGAAAAATAAGACCTTATACCTGCACTGGAATTCTCCAGTTAATTGACTGTAATTTGCTAGCAAGCTTTTTGTTCCGGCCGCAGATAATAAGAACCTGACCGATGGGTCCTCCCATATTCTCATCATACAACAAATCTCCGAGTGCTCGAGCAGTTGCTTCGATGGGTCCCATGCCTTCTCCACCACCCATCAATAAAACAGCAGGTAGTTCCTCATCCATGCCGAATTCCCTCCTTAATTCTTCCTAGAATTATAGAAAATGTAAGAAAAGTGGAATTCTTTTCATCCCTCAATAGAACGGGAATGTCTACAATCCAATGGACCATAGAAAATTATAGACCATTGGGGTCATCACCAACCAATGAAATGATGAACACAGACGAAGATGAGATTCAGAGCCACCTGAATGGAACTTCCACAATACTGGTTCCTACTCTCTTGTCATCACTATCCATCGTGTTCTTGGCCGATTACGACCCCGAGGGACTTACATTTTCCAGTAGTGCATTGGAATTATGCCATATTCCTAAAAGAGCAGCCTATCTAAGATAATTCTGAAACTAGAGAGTCTAAGATCACCTTTGGTCGAACAGGATTAACAAAAGAAGGCCTCACAGGAAGGCCATACACCCGAATTTGAGAAGGTTTTAAACCTGCTTTTGATGCCCTTTGTGCCACCTCAGCCGTTGGGCAATAACATCTCGTTACAAGCTTATGAAACCTGGAAAAAAAAACGGCACGGCAAGGCTAATTCATTATGTACCAAAGAAGTATAATTGATGACTGAAATATTGAAAATAAATTGATAACTCAGAGAAACAAACCACTTGCAAAGAGAATATATGAGAAATAAATTACACAGTGCAACTCCCGAATTCAGGGCATACCAGGTTGGATGGCAGGTGCTCAGATCTGTAATAACAGTGGTGAAAACTATCTTCTTTAGAAGTCCTTTGGCCCTCAAGATGCGTAGTGGAACATGTTGCATTAACGGATGCGCACTTATAATAATATCTGGCTGGTATTTCATCAGTCCTTTTGCAACTTCTCTGCAGTTCCTCAATAAGAAGCCAACTAATAAGCAAAATGCACGTCTTATAAACAAAAGGGCAAAGAAACTACTTACCATCATATGGTGGAATCATGATCTTAAGTGAGATGATGGAATTCATAATTTGAAATAAAGCAAGTTTAAAATTAGTAAGGTTCTCACCAAGCAATAAGACAATATCAGAGGTACGTCTGTGTTGAAAAAGAGTGGCAAGTTAGCTTAATAACTTTAACACCGACTTGTACTGAAAACCTATAATACTGAGCCCATTAATGCGCAGAAGTAATAGGGTCATGGGAATGGTGAAACCAATTCAAAGACCCCAAGGAAAGGAAGCCAAATGTACCATGAACTAATCAATATAAGAACTCCCCTAATGAACCTGGAAATGCCTTAGAAACCCAAGGGATGCAGGTCAAAACTGTGAAAGCATGGCCTTTCCACTGCCAAACAATGTTTTGTGATTACTTCCATTAGTATTAGATGATCTGCCAAAGTTCATAACCATACCACAACTTTAGGGAAGCCAATACTTCAGCCGACATTTTGGCTAGGGAGGGAGGCCACTCTAACCCCATTTTGGGGACCTAGGTGTATTTTGAGAGCTTCTCCCCCTAATCTTCTAGTTGTTGTATTTTTTCTTCCTTGAAGTAAAGCATTTTTTTACCCCAATTAGTTGGGAAAAGGCTTCGATGATGATGATGATGATGTAAAGCATTTTTTCGCCCCTTCAGGGCTCTTGTATTGGGTGCCCTTTCTAATGGGGTCCCCTCATTTTTGTAAATTTTGACAATTCAATGCAAGTGAACATTCTCAAAAAAAAAATAAAAGGCACAGTCTTCAGAAACCACACCGCATTTAGCCACCAACAATATGAAGTAGTGGCTACAAGCAGCAACACCATTCACATGTAAGATTCATGCCCCCTACAAAACTTGCCATAATTTAGTCCATATCATGCTCTTTTTATGAAGTTTTAGATTCTTTTACTAGAAGAATCGACATCTTATGTTAGCAATTATTTGAAAAATATGTTTTTACTATATTTACGAAATGCTAAATTAAAGGAAGGACAATCAAATATGGGTCCTTAGCTCCTACTGAATTACCAATGATCCTGGCCCTAAAACCCCACATTTCCCACTATCAATTATCAATCTTGGGAGTTCATTGATGAATTCTAGAAAAAAACCTCACCTTATTTGGTAGCAAATGCAAACACTAGTATCCCTAGGTTACAGGCACTGGCACTTCAATCGCACTTGACATGTGTCTCATCTTATTGTGAAAGAAATTGGAATATAGTGGTTCCTGTTCACTCAATTAAACACAATAGGATCACATCCATAAAGCTGAAGATTTTGTATGTGTGCATCATAATGTTTCCTCTGTTGAAGAAATAGGATCTTAGGATTCTTTTGGATGCTGACTGTTGGTAAGGGCAAATCATGCTTGGGAGTAGCTATCATGAAATTTAGATGATTCCGACTCAAATTCGTTCATACCAGAAAGAGTTGACCTATAACTTTTGTCATGAGTTCTTTCATCAGCTTCAACATTGACTACCTTGTTTTGGTGGGAAAGCTAGGATTTGAACCACGGACGATAGTGTTGTGGTCTCAATGCTCTAACCACTGAACCAGTGTTGGAAAAAACGAACTCAGTTCAGGACTTGGATGGTCCCAAGTTCGAATCTGTCCCAAATAATAATAACATAATAAGAACTGTTCAAACTCCGCCAGTTCCCATTCATATGATTCCAGACACGGCACCCCTGCAGAGGCTGGGTGACTCGGATGAGTCCACCGGCACCCTTGCAGAGGCCGGGTGACTCGGGTATGTCCAAGTGGACTCTTCCAAGGTTTCAGACACTACACTAAACCAACATTCCAAGCCCCAATTTTGACAACTTCACCAAACGTAGACTTGATATTTCTTCCTTTTTTCTATGTCATTTCATGTTTTGTGCCAGAAATATCTAGAATTTAGCATTCCATATGGATTCATATCATATTGGCAATCATGGATATGTGGTATTTATTTCTGTTACTATGTCATACGTTGCTTGACACTTCTTTTCTGTTTTGGTCATAAAATGAATACTTGAAAAATTGTCAGGCTTTGTTATATCTTTTTTAATAGCTATATAATTATGTGGATGGTAATAGTTGGCTCAGGTTACCTTCATTTATCATGGTTTAGTAAGTCCCACAATTAAAAGACCCCAGCAAAAGAAGGAAGTAGAAGTAAGCAGAAATCCAATTTTCTTTGCTTACACAAGCGAGGACAGAATACAAAAGTCAAATCCACACAACCAGGATCAAGATGATGTCATCGATTAGATACAATGAACAAGAAAAAGAAAAACAAAAGCATTAAGATACTATCATTGATTATAGATGGTCTCTGATCATAAATAGAAAAGGAAGAAGAAAGAACCAAAAGAGAAAAGAAGCATCAAACAATTAGATTGCAAGAGAATTGGCCTCACCTAGCTATAAAAGTAGAAGTTGCTGCAAAATGGGGTTGATGCACTAAACGTGGAGCAGTTCCATAGAAGGTCATTTTCCACAGCGTACCATGTTTCACCAAGAAATTATAGGTCCTAGGCAGTTGGTTAAATGGCCACGGAGTATGATCTGACCACAAATCAGTCACATAGACCTGTCCAGAACAAATATAATTGATATTCACACAAGCAAACAAACGAGACCATGATTCCAAATACAATCTTGAACTAAAAAAGATGAAAATTTTCTTATAATTTTATTATAACTGTTGAAATTGGAAAGAAAGGAACAACACCCATAAAGTCAAACACAATATTGTAATAAAAATTTGATTTTTATCGATAAATTAACAATAAAATTGATATTAAAATAAACTGAATGGAGATTTTTTTTTTTCAACGTTTAAACTGCATGAAACTTGAGTGGTAATGGACAAAGTACCTGATATTCATCACCAAATTCAAGATTAAAAGCTGCCTTTATTGCTTCAGCAGAGGCTCTATGACCCCCACCTGTATCGCTCATAAGAATCAAAACTTTCTTTGGAGTCTCTGCACCCAATAATCGAAGTCCATGGCTTTCTCCACATTGAAATTCACACTCATCGAATGGCTTTTGCACAGATGAAACTGAGGCAAATCCAATTGGAATTCTCTCACAATTCAACCGAATGAACCGATTAAACTGATTCCCTATCCCCTGAACCTTTGCTGCAGTTTTACCAATCTTCAAAGAACCAACAAATTTGGGTTCTCCAGGGAATGTAACCCCAAATTTTGCGCCACAAGAACTGCTCGAATGAGGCAAACATAGTTGCCCAAAACCTCTAGAACTGAAGTTTGAGTCAAATGACAAGTACCCAAATTTACAGAGGAGGTCCAAGCCACTAGAAGGCTCTTGGGTAACAGCTGAAGCTTGCATTGTTTACTCTTTGAGGAGAGAACAGGGTTCACTCAATCCATGGGTTTTACTCCAAATTAAGAAATGGGTATTTTTCTTCACGGCTCAAACTTCAAAGAACAGCTAGAGATGGAGGGAGTTGCAGAGTACGAAGAGTTAGAGAGAGAAAAGAATGGCGGTCATTAGGGTTTTGAGCGAGGAGTTCAGAGGGAGAGAGAGGAGGGATGGAGTACGGATAAGTCCGTTGAGGGAATGGAAATCCAGAGGGGTTTTAGGAGCCACAAATTGAGGGATTTTGGGTCCTATTGATTCCATGGCTGATATATGATGTATCTGGTTCTCAATAATGATTCCATGAAATATACCAAATTCCCTTGGATATATCTCTACGTCCTCTCACGGTCACGATCCTGTAAAGCTAAGGAAATATAAATTATTGGTTTCCCAAACTTTCCCTTACATAATTATGTAGAGAGAGAGAGATTTAAGCATTTATTTTGATTGAGTTTGGATTTTTTTTAGACTTCTCCCATGCAATAGGGAATGGGATTTGAAATCTAATCTACCTTTTAAGTATTTATTTTGCTTGAGTTTGGATTAGATTTTTATTTTTTGGACTTCTCCCGTGTATAAGGATTGAGATTTGAAATCTAATCCAAACGGGTTCGGATAACTTAGTGTACCTAAGACTTACCCCAAAGCCCAATTTAGCTAAATCCTTCTAATTAATCGAATTCGATTTTTTGGGAAAGATAATTTAACTTAAAACAATTATTTTCATTGCTTTCCAAAGTTTTATTTATTTATACTTATTGATTGTATATAATAGCGACTTGAAATCTAAATTGGGTCAAATTAAAATTATTGTAGCTATAAAGTTTACTTAAAACATCTAATTTATCTTATCATCATGGCTTTTATCCAACTATTTAAGATCGGTTAAATATCTAAATAATTGGAATTAATTGTTTTGGACAAGATAGGTAGGTCAAGTTGCTTTAGTTTAAGACTTAACAAAAATCTTTTAAGAGAGCAACTTCTAATGTAAAACCAATCTTAAAAAAGTGGGCGGTTTAAGGAGGTATGCAAGTTATTTGTCCATGGTATTACTTACCGAGCTACATCGTGATGCACATGTCAATATTCATTGGCCGGTGCAACTAATGTTGACACATGTTTAAAATATGTGTGCTACTAGGGTTCTAGTTATGATTTATATAGGATGTGGTTTTCATAAGGTTGCGATCGTAAACAACCAAACTAAGGTGCACCTTCAAAATGTTGTTGCGACATTTAATCTTGGTTTCAAAAATTATTAGGACGACGTGCGAATTTATTTTTATAAAATTTAAACTTCAAAAACAGTTTAGATCGAGCAGATATATAAACGGATAAAAATCTTGAAAATAAACAATCCAAATAATATATTGTAAGATGTATTATTTTTAAGGTTTGAAGTATCTTTTCTTTTATATATTTGTACATCTCCATTTCAAGATGATCAATTAAAATACGGGATTTTATTTATTGAAATTTTTTTTATAAAATAGAGTTTACCGATAAGGAAAAATTAAAGAAAATTTCTTTTGGGTTGCCATTTAAGAAAAAATAAAATAATATCTTAAATGGCACAATATTATATGAAAACATTTGGAATTATTAAGACATGGAAAAAGAGTTGAAGTTCTCCAATTCCCACATGTAAATCAAGAGTCACACCACGACGAAATGGCCACGAAGGTTGCGTTTTCCTCATTTTATTGGTATTAGTTTTGTGACTTTCGAACTCTCTTCTCCACATAAATTTCTAAAAAAAAAAAATCGATTTTGTGGTCATGCAGGACCATATGTACCAGTACCAAAGTGTACATTTGTTATTTCATTGGTACACAACACCTATTTAGGGTTTTTTGTTTGTTCCCAAAACTCTAGAATAATTTTTATCTATATCTCACAATTCAATTGAAAACATATGGATTAAGAGCAATTTGAAATAAATTGATTAAGAGAACAAATATGCTCGATGTCAATATCCCTCTATAATTAATAGCCCATTCGAGTAGGCCCATCAATGAACCGGGTGTCCTAGCTTGGCTCTGGCCCTGTCCTCTGTGAGCTCATGGCCTGGCCGTGCAGACTCGTATTTTAGGGCACAGGCCACAACAATAGCAAGTGGGGCCAAGACTAGGCTGCCACTTGACCAATGATCATATCCAATGTTTCAAGAACTCCATCGGTTGGGTGAATTCGCCTTTCGAAAATCCAATTGGGATCAATGAAAAACACACTCACATCCATCT